TATTCATTTCAGATGCTCATTTATGGATTCGGTCTTTAAATTTGGGGGTTCTGGTTTTTTTAAAGTACTTTATATTTTCTAGATAGTAGCCCTTTGTCTGAGAAATAGCTGGTAAAAATTTTCCCCACAATGTAGGTTGTCTCTTCACTCTGTTGGTGTCTCTTGCTGTGCAGAATCTTTTTAATAAGATTAGATCCCTATTGCTGATTCTTTGTAAGAGTCCCCATGTGACTATTGAGTTGCACACAAGTCATTCTCCAAAATAGACCACATGCTAGCTCATAGCACATGTTTAAGTAAATGTAAAAGAACTGAAGTCACCCCCTGTGTATTATCAGACCATAGTACAATAGAATTGGAGATCAATAACATAAGAAACCACAAAACCCCAACAAACACATGGAAATTGAATAACAATCTCCTGAACAACCAATGGGTCACAGAGGAAATTAGACAGTTTCTACAAGTATATGAAAATGCCAGTACACCACACAGGAATCTACGGGACACAATGAAAGCAGTTCTATGAGGGAAATTCATAGCAGTGAATGCCCATATTAGGAAAACAGAGAGAACCCAAATAAACAATGAAATGCAGAAGCTCAAGCTCCTAGAAAAAGAAGAGCATAACAAACACAAAGCTCATACAAGAGAGGAAATTATAAAGATCAGAGAAGAAATCAATGCAATGGAGACTAAGAGAATGATACCAAAAAATCAATGAATCAAAGAGCTGGTTTTTCAAAAGAATAAATAAAATTGATAAACATTCAGCCAACCTTATCAAAAAAAAGAAAGAAAAGGCTGAAATCCATGTAATTAAGAATGAAAAAAGTGAAGTCACAACAGATCCACCAGAAATCGAGAGGCTCATCAATACCTATTTGGAGAACCTGTACTCTAATAAAATGGAAAACACAGAATAAATGGACAGATTCCTAGATATATACGAATTGCCAAAGTTAAATGAAGAGGATATAGAAATTCTAAACACCCCAATTACAATGAGTGAAATTGAAAATGTAAAAAAAAAATTACCAACAAAGGAAATCCCAGGTTCTGATGGCTTCACTGCTGAATTCTACAAGACATTTAAAGAAGAACTATCACTATTACTCTTTAAACTCATCAAGGAAATTGAAAGGGAAGCAAGGCTTCCGAATTCATTCCAGGAAGCAAGTGTTACTTTGATTCCAAAACCAGGGAAAGACCCAACCCAAAAAGAGAACTACAGGCTAATCTCCTTAATGAACATAGATCCAAAAATCCTCAACAAGATACACGCAAACAGAATACAGAGGGTCATCCAGAAGATCATATACCCTGACCAAGGTGGATTTATCCCAGGGATTCAAGGATGGTTCAACATACCTAAATCAATAAATGTAATGCACTATATTAACAAAGCCAAGGACAAAAATCATATAATCATCTCAACAGATGTAGAAAAAACATACAACAAAACCCAACATGCACTTATGATAAAAATCCTACACAAAATTGGAATAAGAGGTCTTTATCTCAGCCTGATTAAGGCTGTCCATGAAAAACCAACACCCAACATCATACTAAATGGTCAAAAACTGAAAATTTTCACGCTAAAATCAGGAACAAGACAAGGATGCCCATTATCACCACTCCTGTTCAATATAGCTCTGGAAACATTAGCCACAGCAATTAGAAAAGAGAAAGAAATAAAAGGAATACAGATAGGAAAGGAAGAAGTTAAACTGTAATTATTTGCTGATGATATGATACTTTATATAGAAGACCCAAGAAACTCCACCAGAAGACTTCTAGACTTAATTGACAGATTCAGTAGAGTAGCTGGATACAAGGTCAACACTCAAAAAAAAATAGCCTTCTTGTACACAAATAACAGACTCGTAGAGAGGGAAATTAGGGAAACAATCCCTTTTACAATAGCATCCCCCAAAATGAAATATCTAGGAATCAATCTAACAAAGGAAGTAAATGATCTCTACACTGAAAACTACAG